AACAGCAACTACTACGACGACGACTACTACTGCCATGCTTCAGTGATACACCGTTCCAAAGTGTTCCCTGGCTGCTGTATGCCACAAGGCTGGGACCTTCGTAGATGAGAAGGGCACGTTGTACGAAGGAGAGTGGCGACAAGGTACTTGACCCAGAAGCCCGCTGCCCGACAACAGACTCAGATGACTCCGTCAGATCGCCTCTTAGGCAAGTTCCACGGTGTCGGAAAGCACATCTGCCGGGGTGAAACCTACACCGGCGCGTTTGAAGCCAGAGACCCAGCTCTTTGAGGCACCGGTGCTGCACAGCTACGTAGCTCCTAAGGATGGAGAGCGCCATGGCATGGGACAACTCGTTCGCGGGGAAGAGTCAACTGCACAGGCTTGGGGGAGGGGGGGGGCACATGGAAGTTGACCGAGATACCGCCTTTTGGCAGCACCTTCTGTATGAGCATGTGTTACAGATTCTTACAGATGCATGCTTCGTAACAAAATGTAGAGAAAAGATGGCCAGGTTACGTTCTCGAGTCGTCACGATTTGCTGCATATGTCCAAGCGGGAAGGACTTCCTCGGCGCGGAAAGTCTTTATGCCGGTCAGTGGCCGCCAACTGAGAAGCGGCACATGCTCCATTTGGTACATGATGCTTGACCTCCGTGCAAAATCACTGAGAATCTCGTGCCCGCGAGTCAAGAAGTTAGATGCTACCTATAGTCTCCATTGTAGTTCCATTTTGGGGATACCTTATAAAATCCTATATATATATATATATATAATTGGTTAAGCCAAAAAAAGGAACTACAATGGAGATAATAGGTAGATTCTGGATCTTCAGAGAGCTGAGGCGTGCTGGACAGCGCCATGGACAAGGCACCAGACTGTCTGAGCATTTAGCATGAGGGTAGTTTGTCTAAATTAGGGTTCCTTTGGGGGTCCTTTTTATAAGGGTTCCGTACTATATTGGGGACCTAAAAAGGGACCCTAATTTAGAAAACTACCCGTGAACATGGCCGATAACCTCCTAAGGCCTCGTCAGCGGCTAAAGGGTGCAGTGATGCTACATGAGACTAGCAAGGCCATCCTCGGTCACGTTGTTTGGAAATCTGGAAATCATTAAAGGAACATGTGGTCAGCTGGGTGCTTCAGGGGAAAAGCGTCATAGAGGTCCGGAACCCTGCAAAGTAGGACCTTCGCGCACTGAACCACGGCCTGCAAGGAAAGGTGAAGCGGCTGTTGTTTCACAAAGCATCTACAGCCTGTCTACAGCTATACCATCAAGGGAAGCCGACTGTGCAGGTACAGCTATCTATGCCGGTGGCGAGTACGAAGGGGACTGGGCCAAGCTCTCAGAAGCATGCGGGTCTGATCGGAAGAAGTCCTCAGTTTCTGACGTGAGAAGCTGCCCATAGGTCCACGGGAAACGCCATGGACAAGCCGCCATCGCCTCAGATGGGTTTCGGATTAACAACTGAATCGTACCACTGGCAAGATATTTCCCGAGAAGAAGTCGTTCGATGGACATGGCTGAGCTCCTGAGGGCGTCGCAGTCTCGCCATTCTGCGAGGTCCTGTCGTGCAAGGGCTTTCAGTTGGAGGGGCCCTGGGCAGAGGACCTCCCGGATGAGCACTCCCGGCTTGTGGCTGCAAAGATGCAAGAACTACTAGAAATATATATATATATATACATATCTATCTGTCTATCTATCTATCTATCTATCTATCTATCTGTCTATCTGTGTGTGTTTCTATCAGAAGTTTATGGGCATCATTTATCAAAATTTATCATCATTCTTCTTGCGTTTTGATCTCGGCGCCATGTGGAGCCAGGTCCGGCACCCACATGGTCTTCTACCCAGACGGAGGCAAGTACACAGGCCGTCACCTGAGTTTTGTTTTTGAATATTCTTAGGGTTTAGGAAGTTTAGGGTTTAGGGGATTATGAATATTATAGAAGGTCAAGACCAGTTCAGAGGCGTCTTCGTGAATGCCCGAGCGACGAATGGAATTCTATTTCTGCTCCCAGGCAAGATTCATCTTCATCCAGCGGCCGTCGTGAACTGAGACCCTCTTCGCAAGCCTGTTCTTCTATGCCCCCCTTCTCGAAATGACCGGAGGCGAGCACTGCAGCCTCGACAGGCTCAGTTGATGGTTTCTGGACATGTAGAGTGCCAGAATGTCCTGAAATGTCGAAACCTGGTCATAGGTCTTGGACGGCTGTCTACGCCCGGATGCCTGGTCTATCCTGGTCTGTGTGGACGGGGAGACGATAGCAGATACTGGATGCTGCTAGAGATGATGTCGTGAGATACGCGAAGCCAAGCCTGGAAGTGCCCGAGCAGTAAGAGGCTAAGCCGGATTTGCCATTCCGCGTGCGACGTGTTGCAAGGCCATGGAACATCGCGCCAGAGGGCCACGGCATCATGAAGGAGCCCGATGGGCGCCTCTATGAAGGCTCTGCTTCTGTAGCAGAGTAGCTACTGCAATGAATGATCATCGTTGTGGTGGCAGTCATAAGATGTCATAAGCTATGTCGGAGTGATGATTATCACAGTTTTGTTGTTATAGTTTGTTGATGTTGTTGTTGTTGGTGGCGGCGGCGGTGGCGGTGGCAGTGGCCGTGGCGGTGCTGCTGCTGCTCCTGCTAGTAGCTGCTAGTCGTTGGTAGCAACAGGGGCCCCCTGGCATATAATGAGTCGAAAGATGTGGCATAATCAAGACCCAGATAGCCCAAATGGGGGGTTTCCGAAAAATAGGGGACCCCAACATAGCACCCTAAATAGTAGGATCCCTATTATAAGGACCCCCCAAAATAAAATACCCCTTATTTTCGGAAACTCCCAAATCGTGAACCCTGCAGAAGCACCACAGCAGCAAGAGCCGCTGCTTATATTCTTAACATTGAGAGGCGAAGTCTTAAACAATTCAGCGAAGTCATTCCGGGCCAAAGAGAGAGAGCACAGTCTGCCCGTTGTGTATGCGAGGCCGCTTTGAACGAGGAGCCCCTCATGGTCGTGGATATGCTCTCAGCCTGGGCTCCAAGTACGAAGGCCATACGGACGGTCACATGTGGCCATGCGGATTCTGGGAGTTGTTGGATTTCGGACGCTTACGGTTGAGATGGGAGCGCCTGGCCGCGCTGACTATTCACAGCGCAAGCCATAATATCAGTCTCAGAGGTGCGGCATCATTGCTTGGTTCGGATGCACTGCTAATTTTCATTTAGCTGGAAATAGTGTCGAAATGGACGAAGATGGAAGCATGTTTGTTAGTTTCTGTGCAGCTGCGCCAACGTTGCCGTTGGGTTTGCTTGTTTGCGCTTATAAGGTTTAGCTATGCATGCTGACGTCATTCCCCCTATGTCCATAATGAGCCATCAGTGTCGTCCATCCGCTGTTTTCGAAGTTTGTTCATGTCGCAATCGTCGCAACAAGCTTCCACATCTTCGGGAGTCCTGTCGCTGCCATCAAAGCAGGTTTCGGAGCACTTTCTTTGACGCTGTTGCTGGAATACGTCGAGTCTCATGCAATCGTCCCACAAGCGTACGCGGGTAGCAGGCGTGATGGAAACGAGGTTGCTGCCTGGTCTTTGCAGTTCGAACGATGCCTCAAGTTCTCAGTTGGGTTAGCGAGTCTTTGGTTGTCTGATTGCGCTGTTCTAAACCATGATGGACCTTCAATGCCCGACAACCCGACAATGTGGAATCACACAGAGGAGCAGCCGACAAACACCAAACCATCCCCTGGTCAGGTGAGTTTGCCTGCGGAGAGCGGCACGGAGCTGGATGGCGGCTCGCAGAGACAGAACAGGGTTTGTGAGTAAGGGCTTGGGACCACAGGAAAACATAGGTGTCTCCAGCGCGACTGCAGCGCGCCACCATAACAACATGCATCATGCACATGGAGTTGTCATAGGACGTGAAGACGAAGATAAGATGACTGAGGAATACGCCTGAGATTTCAAGAATGCCACACCCCCGAGCCGCAGACTAGTTAGACGATATGTGTAGAACTGCTAGCACCTCTGTTGTCTACGGCAACGACCATTCACCTTCGCGAACCTCTTCGAGCCTCGCTTGGAACATCATGTTGAGTCGGAGAGCGATCCCCCCATGAGCAAAACGCCGAATCGTAAGATATGTCAAAGCTAATCCTGACCATCGTGTGAGGTGTGCAGAGTGTCGCCCGACGTAGCCGTGCAGAGACCTACAGTGTTGGACATGTGGAAGCCCAACAACACTCAACCCCTAGAAGCTAATTCAATTCAATGTTTTCGGACCCTGCCTAGGCTGCAGAGTGCTCCGGACCAGCGTGAGCCTACGAAGCAGCCTTAGCCGTTTCGTGCAGATTCCAGGATTTTCGGTTTTCGGATGTTTGGACGAAGACGGTTCTCTTGCAGGGTTCAGGGATTCGAGCTCAGGCTTTCTTTAGAGATTGCACGTGGGAATGGAGTTTGATAGTTCGCTACAGTCCACCGCAGAGATTCCCTTCATCCATCCCTTCGTTCACACTTGGCATAAGGTCGGGCTGTTGGACTGATGATCACTTCTGAAGCTTACATAGGTCTCTGCAAAAGAGCACACGGGCTTGCATGCATGCATACTTTCATGGACCTGCACATGCATGAGCATTTATTTGCCTCCGGGTGCTGAAACACAAGCATGTAAATGCAACTACATATGCTGCATATCTATATATGACTATATGGTAGTGATGCGGCGGGAGCTTGTTTTCTGGTGGTTCGAGTTTTGTCTATGCAAAAGCATCCAACAAGAATGCGAACTTTGCTTGCGCGTGGTTATGGACGGAGAGGAGAGAGACGGAAGACGCCGCCTCCTCAGACTTGAAGGGCTCGTACGCAGTGAAGCCGAAGCCTTGTGCCTCGCCTCAAGGCCGGTGCACTACGACCGCGGCGAGTGCAGAGCTCGTGTTCGGAAGTGAAATTTGGGATTTTAAAGTGGCTTCAGAGTGACACAATGAAAAGCCTCAAGGGGAGCCTCAAGCAGGTGCGTAGTCAGAAGGAGCTTGAAACTTGCAAAGAAGAGGAATTGCGCTACCAATGTGCGTTGGGTGGAAAGATGAGGCGTTCTCCAGTAGCTCCAAGCTCGTAGCTTCGGCATCAGTTCAGCACTTGCGAAGCGTGAGAATGGGCACCATCTTCAAAATTGAAGAGCCCATTTCCTGGCGTTCCCTTTTCAAGTGCTAAGGTTGACTCCACAACCATCCGAGCAAGCAGCGCCCTCATGTTTCTGCTACAGTTGTGAGCCACGCATGCTTGTTTTGATTCTGCTGCAAAGCAAGGGAACTTTCTGCTCTGGCCGTTTATTGGTACAGTTGGTACAGTACACAGGGCTCCTTTGATGAGGCAGTCTTTTTCTCTGCAAGCTTACGCATCGAAAGGCACCGCGGAAGAAGACTCAGACGAACGGCATCTGCCTGCGAGCATACAATACAGACGAGGCTGCACGGAGTAGTTGTTGTGATAGCACTCATCCCAGAACAGCAGGGGGCGCGGCGCAAGGAGAGGCAAACGGAAAGCCTAATCCCAGAATAGTTCATGCTGAAGGCTCTTGGCATGCCTTCATCTTCACGTGCTATGTTCCGCTGAACAAGTCTTCGCCAAAATCCATGGGCACAGCCTGCACGCGGTTTTGCGGAAGCTGTGCGGGGAGAGTAGGACAACATATGTAGGCTGCCTTTGACGTTCGCTCTTGGCAAAGTCTTGATCCTAGTCAAACCCTGCGCTACAGCTGCAGAAAGATTCAGAGGTTTGCTGGGCGGCGCCGGTTTCCAGCTTTGCTTCGAGCATTGAATTGCTAACCTTAGGCCTGCGAAATCTTAAAACGTCTCACAGTAATTCACAGTACGAGTGGTTGCCAACGCTGTCGGTTGCCCACATACGAAATCGGTTTCATCTGGCTGACTCTTTTTTGTCGACTGCTGTACTGGATGCCTTTCCGCATATGTTTGCGGGTGATGAGGCGAGTCTTTAGGGAGCGTCGTCGTTGCTGGCATTGCACCACCACAGAAGGGGCGAGTCCTCGCCGTGGAGTTGTTAATTACAGCAGTGGTTGCTCGTTCGGAGATCTTGGGCCTTGTCTGTGCTTCCCCTTGCCTTTAGGACTTCAGAGAGGGTTCTCATGGGGCCTGGGTTGTTGCATTTTGTTTGTGTGAGTGTGAGTGTGTGTTTGCCTTTTTAGACGTATGATAAGCATGTATGCATGTCTACATCCTATTGCTCAAAAAGGGCCCTGTGGGTAACCCCATCTGCAGCACCTTTACCTGAACCCTCAAGAATTCTTAAGCAATTCTTTTTGTGGTGACCCAGGCCTTTCTTCCGGCGAAGGGTGCCTCCGGTGTCCCGGACGAAGGACCGGTACTTTCTAGCAGACTGAGTGTTCAAACTTGGAGGGACTCAGGCCTAGGGTTGTTTAGTGATTTAGGTTCGGGCCGGGGGCCTGGTTGAAAGCGCTCAGAACGTTTTAATTTTGTTCGCGCTGGCTGCAAAGTTGCGAGCCCCGGGCGAAACCACGCTTGAGGACCTTCGGGCAAGTCTTCCGAAAACCGCTGCAAATGAGCATGCAGAGCTCAAGCAACCCTAAACCCCTAAACTTTACTAAACCCTTAAACCCTAAGCCCCTAAACCCTAAACCCCGTTTCTTTTTGTTTGCCATCGCCTGTCGACTCCAGGAGGCGCGGATGTCACGGAAGTGGCCGAAGCAACTGAAGAGACGGCTCCAGAACAGTCAAGCAAAAATGGCACTGCCCTCTTATGCGACTGACATGTTTGTAAGTGTATTCATAGCTGAGCTCAGGGAAAGGCATGTGAGGACAAACCACCAGTAGCAGAGGTCTGCCGACGAACGGCAGACCATGCTCACGCCGACCTTGCTTTACGATCAGTTTATGCACCGAACAGATTTCGGCTCGGACGCTGTGTTCCCCACCTGGGTCGATTTCTCCCATGTCAGGCTTCATGCAGTAGGACTGCAAGAGCTACGATGCTGAGTTGCTGCGGTCAGAGTGCTTTACCAACGGAGATGGTTTGCAACAGCCTTCCTCTTCACCAACCTTTACCCACGGAGATGGCTTGCAAGGGCTATCAACCGGTTGTTGGTGATGCAACGCAACTGGTGACATGGGTCCATATTTTAAGTGGAAGGCTAGGGATAAAGCAAGCTGCACCCGTTTCATGCGGATCTACAAGGCGGATTCCCAGGCTCGGAACTCCGGGAGTGGAGGAAAGTCTCCGCTCAGAGGAGCAGCATCTTGTGCTGACAGCTCCACCTGCCCCTGCATGTACGCCATTGTGTCCAGAATTGCCATTTCTCTTCCTCAACCGTCAGCTGATGTCTGTGGCAAGAGCTGGGCGAAACACCATCGTGCTCGTCCACAGGCCGTGGCCAACCAGAAGCTGTGCCTCAGCATCAAGGCTCCTGTCCAAGAGGCAGTGGCTGCAAGATGCAGCTGAGACACAGGTTCGCATGGGTCTGGAGCACGCAGTCAGAATGCAGACGGCTGGTTCAGTCCGTTTAGCGCCGGCTGATACGGCAATGTGTGTCAGCTCAACGCATCCCCTGTCAACAATGCGACCTCCTGCTGCTTGCATAAATGCGTGCCATGCTGGCTGCTTGTATTCAAGAGTACTTGCTGCCACCGCCTTGGGCTTCATGTACTGCAATGTGAAGTATACGATGTCAATGTACAAACGGGCGGAGCTGGGTGTGTCGAATGTGCACCGCATCGGTA